CCCCCCCCGCGCCCATCCCCCTCCTGGAAAGGCGACACGAGATCCCGGCTGGAATTCTTCCAGGGATCCCTGGGGGCCTCAGCCAGCTCTGGTTTTTAATTAGAGTTCAAGGAATGTTTTTCCCTGTACGACAAGAAGCAAAAAGGGAAGATCAGGGGCTCGGAGCTGCTGGCGGTGATGCGGTGCCTGGGAGCCAGCCCCACTCCGGGAGAGGTGCAGAGACACCTGCAGCTGCACAAGATCGGTGAGACACCAAAAAACGGGAAATTCCTGGGGAAAAAATCCCGATTTTTCTGTGCCAGGAGGGAAGGAGCTGTTGGGATGTGTTAAATCCAGCCCGAGGATTAAAAAGTGCTGTTAAAATCCCCAAAAATACGAGGAAAAAAAGCAGGATTAAAGATGTGAATGTGGATTTGGAGGGTGGGAGAGTGTCCAGGCCGAGCAGCAGAGGGGGAAGAGCGCAGGGGGACGTTCAGCCCCGGATCTGTAGGAAAAATAAAGCACAAAAGCCAAGGAATTGTGAGATCGGCCACGGGGAGGATTAAAAATTCAAGATCCAGGTTGGGATTTGAGGCAGTTGTAAACGGGGTTTTAGGGGGAAAAGCCCAGTGGGGACAGGGAAATCCCGGGAAAATGAGGAGAAACCCCAGGAAATGGGGAAAAAATCCAAGGGAGGGAGAATTCCAGGAAAGGGAGAAAAAAAAAGAACAGGAAAGGGAAAAGAAACCTCAGAGAAGGGAGAAGAAACCCCAAAAAAGGGAAAATAATCCCAGGAAAGAGAGAAGAATCCCAGGAATAGGAAAAGAACCCCAGGAAAGGTAAAATAACCTCTGGAAATGGAAAAGTACCTCAGAAAAGGGAAAATAACCCCAGGAAAGGAAAAAGTAACCTCAGAGAAGGGAGAAGAACCCCAGAAAAGGTAAAATAACCCCAGGAAAAGGAAAAGAAACCTCAGAGAAGGGAGAAGAAACCCCAGAAAAGGGAAAATAATCGCAGGAAAGAGAGAAGAATGAAGGAATAATAAAAGAACCCCAGGAAAGGGAGGGAAAAAAAACATAAAGGGAAAAAGAACTCCAGAAAAGGGAGAAAAATCCCAGGAGAGGGAGAAGAAACCCCAGGAAAGGGAAAAGGAACCTCAGGAAAGGGAGAAGAACCTCAGGAAAGGTAAAATAACCCCAGGAAAGGGGAAAGGAACCCCAGGAAAGGGAACTGGGGGAGGAGGAGGGGAAGCTCCATCCTGGATCCGGCCCCCAACCGTTCCTGAAGGATCTGCCCGTCCTTTTCCAGACAGGAACGCTGAGCTGGACTTCTCCACCTTCCTGACCATCATGTACCGGCAGATGAAGCAGGAGGAGCCCGAGCAGGAGATCCTGCGGGCGCTGGCCATGCTGGACCGGCAGAGGAGGGGAGTGATCGCCGCGCCCGAGCTGCGCGCCAAGCTCACCCGGCTGGGAGAGAAGCTCTCCGAGGAGGAAGGTATCCCAAATCCCACAGGGATTCCTTTCCTTTCCTTTCCTTTCCTTTCCTTTCCTTTCCTTTCCTTTCCTTTCCTTTCCTTTCCTTTCCTTTCCTTCCCTTCCCTTCCCTTCC